CCGTGTTAGAGGATGAGGCGAGCGAGCGAGCGAGCGAGAGACGGTAGAGGAGGGTGTGCGCGGACGCGAGGCGGAGGATGAGGAGGGCGGGAAGAGACTCGAGGGAAAGAGAGGCTGCGAGGCTCTCTCAGCAGTCTCTGAGGCCGTGAGCATTGTTCCCCGTCTATTAATACACCGGGTTGCATACTAATCTCCTGCCACGGTGACGCGGAGGGGATTACAGGGGGAACGGGTAGGATGGCAAAAGGAGGAGGAGCAGATTGGGGGGCGGGGACGGCGGAGAGTGCAGATGCATACGACGAGGCTCGCGCCGCTCCTCGATACGCGCTCCCCTGCCCTATTATTCCATTTAGTGGCGGTGCACACGCGTGCCACGATGCTCGTTTCGACGGGGATCGGCTTAAAACCTGATCTCTAGCATGGATACCAGCCCGATCCTCCGCCGCCGACCCTCCGCCCCGACCCGCCGGTGCTTATTGGGAAACGATATTTCTTCCTAGTGGAATTACGCGAAATAGTAAATGCATCGGCGCAGCCGGAACGACGCTGACACATCGGAGGCAAGGGATCTTGGTGCCTGATCGAGGAGCGAATGGTGCCCGAATGGTACTTGGGAGATCTCGGCTGGAAGAAGTGTTTTTCGCGTGGAATCGCTCGAGGTACCTGATGCGGGGAGATTCGGAATTCATTTGGGGGTTGGATAGAGATAGTGTCGGATGTGGGTGTTTGAGATGGTAGGATTCGCGAAGGTACCTGATATATGATGAGAAGTACCTGAAATGTCGAGGCTGATAGTCATGGAATAGTAGAATCTGTGAATTACATGGGCTATTAATCGAGAAGTTTGAAGTACCCGAAGTACCTGAGTTGTTAGAATTGATTCGGGACAGCCGTAAGTACCCGAGATATTGATATTTGTCCCTGAAAGTATTCGAACGGGGAAGTTGCTGGAAGAGTTACCCGAAGTACCTGAAGTACCTGACTCGCTTTGAGAGCGGATTCAGAGTTGCCGAAGCGTTGGCACTTGTTTGGAAATGTGTTCGAAGTGAAAACTTCTGTCTCGATTACTCGAAGTACCAGAATCGAAATTACCCTAAGTACCTGAATTGACAAAGTCAGCAGAGTTGCTAGAATTGGTATTATAACAGCGAGAAGACCTGATACTGTGTGGAATTCACATCGAGTAGGTACAGAGCAACACCTGGAGAAACGAGTCTCAGACGAATCGCGAATTCCGCGAGACGCGACTGGCGAAAAAAAGGAAAAGAAGGTGGCGAAGATCCGCAGAAAACGGAAGCGTGCCAGTCATTCATCGGGTCCTTGATATGAAAAGAGGAGGTGAAGTGGTCTCGGGCACGTCGAAAGGATAACTGTCAAGTGGCAGCCGCGAATCGCATTCCGGCTCTAAAAATACGCTGTTCGTTCACCGTCGACGGTATAGCCCCCCGACGATAAAACCGGCCTATCAAAAAAGGGAACACGCTCCCCTCGCCCGATAATCAAGAAAAATTCATTCCCCGCGATTCAACTCGAGTTTATATCCGGCGATCATTCGATCGTCCGAGGGAAGGAAAAGGATGCTTTCAAAAGGTTCTCCAGATATCGATTTATTGATTACCTTTCGAAAGCATCCGTGAAACCGCAATTCCAATCGAACGAATCTTTGTTCTTTCTTCGTTTCTTCGCTTCTTTCTCTTTTCGTCTCTACGATCACTTTTGTCTTTTTCTTTTTTCTCGTTTTCTTTTTCTCTTTCCAATTTGCTCTTTTCTTTTCCATCTTTTCTTTTTCTTTCTTTTTTGTTTTGTTTTTTTCTTTTCCAACGAAACAGAGAGAGAGAGGCTGGAGACTTTCGATATCCTAGACGTCTTTCATGCAAGAACGCGAATCTTCAAGCCGCTTCGAAATTAGTGGGAAATGTGAGAGAGAGATTTCGTCGTACCTTTTGAAAGCATCCAGAGCTCCTTGGAGCTGAAGACACCTGTCGCAAGGATCGTGTCATTGCAGACAACACCGTTATATAGTTCGTGGTAGCCCGCACCTGGGAACAGAACCCAGTCCGCCATCTTTAATCGTCCGTGAGATTAGTTTCAAGCTTCTTTTTCACGTTTTTCTATTTTACTTATTTATTTACTTCTTATTAATTTTTTTTTATGCTTAGTCTGTCTTTTACACAACGGATCCGATTAAACTGGCAAGATTCAATTGTTGCAACGATAAGAAATCGATGAAACTGACGGTTCAGACTGTACTTTCGCCGGTTCTTTAACGAAGAATTGAAGAGCTTTACCTTTTCGCCGCCTTTCTTCCTCCTTGCTCGCGTTGCAGATGCCGTTTAGAACCTCTGCAACATGAAATTATAAGGAACACATTAAATTAACTGCGTTTGATCGGAAACCATTTGGTATGTCAAAGTAACAGAGATTTTAAACAGAGGTCTCTTATCATCCTCCCGCTAACGACATCCAGACACCTTTGCAATCGTCCCCTATCCTCCGCTTCTACATTCCACCAAAGAATCCCCTATAAAACAAGATCCTCCTCTATCCTCCATCCTAAACACAATTCTCCGATACTTCGCCGAATCCGAAACCTGCATACTCCAATTTCACGAGTACGAATCTAATAATAAAGCTATCCGAACGAAATCCAAAACAATGAAAACGTCTCCGATTCTACGAATCCTCGTCCCAGAAACCGCTCGGAGCGCGACACGATCGTACCGATTCCGAGCCTCCGATCCCAAAAATATCAGTTCCATCGATCCAGCGGATTCGGATCTGCCGGATAAATCCCGCCGCCGATATAAAATTCGTTTCCGTTGGAAACTCGGGACGAACGGTCGCGATAAATGTGTCAACGTTTCCGTCGGTGCCGCGGATTCAAGTTCGACGGCGGGTTTATTTCAGGAAATGAGTTGAAACCGATCGTTTCCCCGAGCGCCGCGACCGCCTGGGATTTTCCGGGACCGCTTCGTTTTTCGGGAAACGCGCGCGCTCCTTGCCGGCCATCTCACCTTCGCTGTCGCACGGTGTTTTATATCGCGGCACCTTACGCAAATCTCATTACGCAACGCACCAAACCCGAAATACACGAGAGCCCGGAACGCGTGTTCGTGTTCATCGCGCGGCGGATCGGCCCGGGGCGCGCGGGGCGTGCGGATCGATCGCGAGAATCGCGGCTCGATCGGCCGGAGGCTCGAATTTTTCGCGATCGTTAAACCGGCCCCTGTCTCCGTTAAACAACGGGCAGGGGATCCTCTCGCCGGCGAAAACGTACCGCGCCTATAAATAGCCGTTGACAAACATACGCTCACCGACGGGTTATTTTTAATTGCGGCTCAACCTTTATATCGCCGCTTCGGACGATAAATCCTCGCTATGGTCGTGAAACGAGCTCCTTCGATCTAGAGCTGGGAATGCTCGATATCGCACGGAATTAGAAGAAATTGGGGATTAGTAGATTCGTCTGCGAAACGGTTGATCGTTTGATTTGGTCACTCGAATTTGATGACACCGTTTTTCACAGTGAACTTAATTATATCGAAACTTTAGCTTCTTGGATGGGAGAAATTCGGGGATTTTATTGGGTATCGGGTTGTATGGGGAATTGCGTTTATGGATGTAGTCTTGATTAACGTTAACAGTATTGACACTTTGTTAATGGAGATATGAGGAAAATAGGAAAATTGATCAGATATAGGGATTGATGTAGTTTAATGAACGAAAGTGAATTAGAGTGACTTCGAGGGAATCGAAGTGGGAAAAGTTTGGCCTGAGACTTCTGTCGAGGTTCGACTAAGATCGTTTAAATAGAAAAGGTTGGAATTTAATTGGAATTCTAACATTTCTATTGTTTTGATGCTAGACGGAGATTTAGATGCCTTTGTTTGTTTGGTCGCGATGGTTATATAGTAATGAAGCTGTGTTATGATAGAATAATTATTAATAGACGCGCGTCTATAGAGCGCGAAAGTTGAAAAAGAAACAGCGAAACGCGAGTCGCAGTGCCGTTACTTTTAGCACGTTGGAATTATCGCCGAAACGAACGGTTCGAATGGCGTTCGATGAAACAGAAATTCCCTGAAATTACGAGACAATTTTGGGTCACATCGGATTATTGAGAAACCATCGTGTAAACTCGAGAATATAATATTCCCGAAGCAGACGGGCGGCGAGGCGAATTATTCGGATCGTAAACGACAAGCCGAAGCGGCGGAATAACGAATGGCCCGGGACCCGTCGCGAAAAATGGTCTCCAAAATGGTCGCGACGATGGATTTTGCGCAACCGGGCATCGTTTCTCGGGAAAATTAATTGCGACACCGCGGCGAAGGATCCTCGGGCGAGTACCCGGCAAAATTAGTCCGCCGGTGGTCGACAGGTGCGTGTGCGACGCAGAAATTTTAGGAGGCCGATAGATACACACGATCTTGGAACAATAATAGAGAACGGAGAGATCTGTTGACGCTATGTGATCCATGAGCGATCCCGCGATGCCACGGTGAGGTCCGTCAAGGACGACGCAGTGTACGATAGACTTTACGGCCATCTTGCAGAACGTTTTACAACGTAAGTCACTTTAAGAGTTTATAATGTAAACTAAAAATAAATGCCTAGGGGTCTCGCTAACGAAGCTTTGATAGGACAGCTCGCTTTCACGAGAACGAGTGAGAAATAAGTGGTTCTGCATAGAAATCTGGTGGATAATTTTCCTGTGAGTGATATCTTCAACAGGCGAAGGTTTGTAGGGTTAATAATTTCTAGATTTAATAATTTTTGGAGTTAATTAGTTGTAGGGTTGATCACTTCTAGATTTAATAATTTCTAGATTTAATAATTTCTAGAGTTAATGAATTCTAAAGTTGATCATTTCTAGATTTCATAATTTCTAGAGTTAATAAATTCTAGAGCTGTTCACTTCTAGATTTAATAATTTCTAGAGTTAATAAATTCTACAGTTAATCACTTCTAGATTTAATAATTTCTAGATTTAATAATTTCTAGAGTTAATTTTAAATTTTTAGAGTTAATGAATTCTAGGGTTGATTACTTCTAGATTTAATAATTTCTAGAGTTAATCATTTCCAACGTTAATCATTTCTAAGGTGAACAATATCGGGCTTAACGAATTCTAAAGTTAATAACTTCTGAAGTTAATCATTTATAACCTTAACATTTGCATACTTAGTGAGCTCAAAATAGATATATTACAAAGAAACGAAATAAAACGATAAGTTTCAAACTGTTTCCACGCTGAATTCAAACATATTCGTTTCAAAGGGAAAAACGAAAGGTTCTTTCATCGGCAAACAAGAGAAATAACTCCAAACACCGATGTACAATCGACTACAGTATCGAAAACGAGTCTTTAATCAAGTAAAAAGTGTCGCGAGCTGTTCTTAATCTCCTAAAATTCAATTGCCGGGGGAAACTCATCAGAATCCGTAACCACCCCTTCAGCCACTTCAATTCGGATCCGAATTCCACTCGTACACAAACTTCATTAGCGAAATTAACCCTCTTATTTCATTTAATACCGATCAATATCCGTTTCATCCCCCGATTCCCACCCTTCGAAACGTCGCAAAAGGGTCAAGATAATTAACCCAGATCTATCTCGCTGTTAATAAATTTCAATAACAGCGTCGTGCCACGCGCTCTGCGTTTATCCCCGGTCAAACGTCAATTTCATCTTCTAACTTCCTTTTACAACGACAAGAAGAAACAAAGTCTCCATTTTATTTTGATAATTCAAAGTGAAAGAGAAATTCAACCCTCTGGAAGAAGAGTGAGATTTTTATAGATACTCAAAAATTTATAGATACTCAATCGTTCCTTTCCTTGCTTTAATGATAATGATAATAATAATAATAATAATTTTATAATATTATAATAACTAAATGAAAAGGACTTTTTATTTTGCATTCGAATCGTTCATTTTCTACGGTGTTCAACTCTACAAAACGAGAACTCGAAAAATCTGATGAAATTACCAATCAGATGCTTCAACACTAACATTCGAAAATATTCTAAGTGAGCCTCCGTTATTTCTCAACGAAGCAACTTTATATTTCTTCGAAGAAAACCGAGGAAATGAAAAATTGTATAGGATAGGAGAATTAATTGCCGAACCTAGGACTCTTTTTCTTCCTCCCCTGTTCCCTTTTATTTATTTATCCGCCGCTTCGGAGCGGTTTTCGTCCACGAACGGAGGTACGAGAATATTCATTTCAGGTATTCGCGTCGGCACGAATGAAAATCAAACATATAAGCGAGCACGGTGGCTGAAAAAGAGAGAACGAGAGGGACAGAGAGCGAGAGAGATCACGGTACAAGATGTCCGTCGCCTATTTATTTATAGAGCGAGCACACATCGGCACGCATGGTCACATGCTCGCGTGCACGACACACCGACGAGGACGCCGAGCGTTTTTACGAGCCTGTACAACTAAAAAATTTATTAGGCTAGAGTACATATTCGCGGGGATAAAAATCTCACGGAGTACATTTAGAAGTTCATCACGGGAGACGGAATAGCATGGGGTAATTACTCTCGAGGGTAATTCGAGCGATTAAGACTCGATTACTCGACATTGCAGGATTAACAGAAATTTAATCCTTCAATTATTATCAATTATATTGTTTCTATTAATCACTGATGATAGTATAGACAATTACATTGTTCCAACAGATTCCTCACAATATACAACATTTCCTTCATGATTATCACTGCTTCTCTAATTATAATACTTCTATTTCATCTGAATGTCTAATACGAATGTTTCGTCCGAATCAGATCAAAGTTACAAAGATTTCGAAATTGCAATGAGCTCGAAGTTATTAGATCAGCTGTAAGTTATGGAAACGATAACCGCAACCCTTCACGGCGGACAGGGTGAAAAATGAATCCGATCCTATTTGCGTCGTTTCGAGGTTACTAGCTGACTGTTTACGTGTCCCGCGGTTATCGAAACGGGGATGTGTCTAGCGGAGCGGCTCCCAGGGGAGGAGGCGGAGGAATAGTTTTAAGGCGTCGAAGCGTCGAGCGAGTTCGTCCGGCGCGCGTATTCGCCCTAAGAGCTAAATATCGCCCGGCCGGCCGGGTTGCGTAAGTATCATCGTCTCTTATGAAAGTGTTAGAAGAGAGGACAGGTGCCTCCACGCGTGTCGCTCTCGGACATCGCATTTTCGCGATGCCACCGCTCGCCCTGAGCAAGCTCCGTTTTAGCCGGCTCCGCGCGACTCCGGTAATCCGGAATAGACCGGGGTACCTCTGGTCGCGTTTCCAACGCCGCCAGTGAATCAACGCCACGTGGATCCTCGGCGTTGCCTCGCTAGATTC